CGAAAAAAAAATTCCAAGTGTATATATCCTCTACTAAACATCAGTCTTCGGGCACACCAGGTTTTATAAAGCATTATGTTGTACCCTTAAAAAAAAAGATTTGAAGAGTTTGGGATGTTGGTCAAAATTTCTTCAAGGGGCCTGACATACTCTTTGAGAACTCCTAAAGGATTTAAGAGTCCTGTTATAGTTTTTTAGAGGCCTGTGGGTTCTGTCTCAATCCTTCCTCAAAATTAAAGCACCCATCAAACTGGTGTTTTCGGCTCTGTGAGAGGGACCACGTGACGATTAAAAATATATCCGCCGGGGAAGCCGGTTGGCCATTTTGTACCGGGCGCCTGCAGCGAGGGTTGCAGATGGAGACGTTCCCCGGTTTCTCATTATTGTGTCTGTGTCTTCTGTGTATGCGTGTCACTGGCTGGACTAGAGAGCGAAAGAGAGAGATGGAGTTTTTCTTTCGCCCGATGACCCAAAGTCCTTGCTCACGAGGGAGAGAAGGTGCTTAGGGAAGATGGGAGCTGGACCTTTTTCTGTTTGAAGAAGATAATACCGCCTTCGTGAGAAGCTGGTCGGGCTGTGTTTTATTCGGGAAGGAGCGCAAACTAAATGCGCAAAATCAGCCGACGCTCAGTATTCGGCTTCCTATCCCATGTTTGGGGCATATTTTCAGGAGCAGCTTGGTGTGAGGATCAAGAAGATCTCAGTGCCCTGTTTCTTGCGCCTCTTCGTCCGTTCGGTTTCACGAGCATCCAGGGATCGAAAAAAAACAAAAACACAGGAGACGCCACTACTACGCCACCATGGGGCTCCGTACGAAAATATCAGATTCAGGCCGGAATGAAAACTGCCGGTTCCGCCTAGACGCAAAATTGGGGCACCAGTGTGTATGCAGCCTGGAACTGCGCATTTCCAGCCCCAATTTTAAACCCAGGCGGTGCACCGCCGGAATTCCCACTGCGCTCACCACTGGACTCTACAAAATAATTTCGTGTTATGCCCTCAGCCGTTACAACCGAGAGATCCTCACGATTTCAAACCCAGGCGGACTGGGTCTGAAATCGCGACGATCTCTCGCTTGTAACGATCAAGGGCATCGCACGAAAGACTTTTGTAGAGTCCAGTGGTGAGCGCAGTGGTAATTATGGCGGCGCACACGGTCGTCCAGGCGTCGTCGCGTCGTCATTAAACCAGTGCACGGAACACACACACAGCACGCACAAGCACAGTATCGAGTGTTGAGTGCATCGGGAAGTTCCGGCGGGCAAGCGATATCCGAGTTGTCCAAGTATTGTCACTAAGCACACCAGCGCATCCAAATGCCGAGCCCAACTGCAATGGGTCGGCAGCTTCACACTACATAAAGATTCAAAGCCGAGGCCAGTTGTTATCCATCCAGGGAAACGATGGGAGCGTCAGTATCCGTGCGCCCGCAGCGCGAACGTCACCGCCGGGCGAGCGCCCGCGCCGGCGCCGGCCGGCAGCCCGACGGAGCGGAGAAGAACCGAGACTCTCGAAGCGGTGCCGCTGACTGCAACAGACAATGAATGCAAGGCGCGTCGTCACCAAACACGGTGCACGGAACACACACACACAGCACGCACAAGCACCCCTATTGAAAAAAACAGTATGATTCTCAACCCGGCATACCCGACTTTGAACTGGGCAAAATGGAAATCGAACTGATTAAACTGGCGATATAAGAAAACAAACTGGCCGAATTGGAACATTAACAAGCCACACTGGCACCTTAACCTGCCAAACAGGCAGCCAGACTTGCCAACCATGCAGACAAACTTGCCAAACAGGCAGCCAAACCTGCCAAACAGGTTCCCGAACTGGCTAAACAGGAAACAAAACTGGCCAAACAGGCTGCTAAACTTGCCAAAAAGGAAGCAAAATTGCAAAACAGGCAGCGGAACTTGCCAAATGGGAAGCAAAACTTGCCAAACTGGGGAAACAGGCAGCTGAACTTGCCAAACAGGCTAAACTGAGTGCTAGACAGGTGAAAGTGGTAGCAGAACTGGTCTTACTGGTATTCAAACTGTTCAAAATGGTGACTGAACTGGTTACACTGATAATCAAACTGTTTTTCAAACTTGTAGCAGAGCATTGTGGTGGAACTGATCAAACTGGTAGCTAACAGCTCAAACTGGTAGTCAAACTGTTCAAATTGGAAATCGAGCTCCTCTAACAGGCAGTTGAACTATTCAAAATCGTGTATATATACCGAAGAAAGGTTGTTTTATAATCTGCCTAGCAGCACACTTTGGTAAATTACCTCATAAATGTAATTTAATTATAGTTACAACGTTTGCCGCCTTTTGCTCCAGCTTCCCAGAGCTGTGGTCTAAACAAGCAAAACTATATCTTTGTCCGAAATAAGGTAATTACAATTAGAACTACTGGACAAAAAGTAATTCATTGCAATTTACATTACTTTTAGAAAGTCAAAAATTTGGGGGTTTTACGTGCCAAACCAACGACGGGCATCTGGCACGCCCCAGCGGAGGACTGAGGATTAATTTCGACCACCTGGGGATCTTTGAACGTGCAACCGAAAGCTCGGTTACACGGCGTCTTCTCCACAATAAGCCTCCGTCAGATTGCGGGCACCTCGGCCGGGATTCGAACCCGCCACATGGGGATCCGTAGGCCGACGCTCTCGCCTCGGAGCCACCGAGGCGGCTACTTTTAGAAAGCAATTTCACAATGGCATTACTTTCTTTGAACTTTGAACCACGCCGACGTGGTTCAAAAGGCTCTGTCCGCTAATGCTGCCGACCACCTGCCAGATTCTGCAAAGGCTGTTCGACAGTAGTACTGTGCCAGGAACGTGGCAATGAGCTTTGGTCACTCCGCTACACAAGGGAAAAGGAAGCCGACGAATGAACCAAAACATTACCGTCCTGTGTCAATCACCTCGATTGTCTGTCGAACATTTGAAAGGATAGTTAACAGCCAGCTTCTCAACCACGTTGAAGAAGCCGGCTATCTCTCCGACAGTCAGAATGGCTTTCGAAGAGGTCGCAGCTGCGAATCAGCACTGGCAACTATTACCCATTTTATCAGTGATCACATGGATAATCGAACCATGACAGATCTAATCCAACTTGACCTAAGCAATGCATTTGATATGCTCGACATTAACCTCCTGCTTGAGAAGCTTACACACGCAGGCATACACGATTTCCTATTCACCTGGATATCAAGCTTTCTGCAGAATCGCAGCCAACAAGTTGTGTACTGTGGGGCACGCTCTACAGAGAGGGTCATGTCATCAGGAGTGCCACAGGGCTCTGTCCTCGCTCCGACGCTCTTTCTCATATTCGTGAACGACATGCCACGCAATGACAAGTGTATCCTAGTGCAATACGCAGACGATACATCAATCGCGATGACAATTTCGTCCCAGTCTGACGCACGTCACTTGCAAAACCATCTAGAAGATGTAGAGAGATGGATCTCGAGACAACACCTAAGCCTGAGCGCATCCAAGAGTTCCGTGATACGTTTCTCAAACTGCAAAAAACAGACAATTGCCTTGTATATACTGTAGCAGGCACTCCACTGCGCACATCAGACCACCTGCCTATCTTAAGTGTCACGTTTTCCCAAAACTTGGATTTTTCCGCACATATTGCCGGCATTATCGCGCAGTCTTGCAGGACGCTTGGCCTCATCACCCGCGTCGCAAGGCCAGGTGGGCCAGCGGTCCTGCAGGCACAATATACATCCTCAGTCCTGCCTTCATTGGAATACTGCTCTGCATGCAGTTTGGTCTCCCCTCAACAACATCTAATTGAGAGACTGTAGAGCGTGCAGCGCCGTGCAACCCGCAAAATTTGCGCCTGGTCCCTGGCACGACTGACGTGCCGTACCACGCACGGCTCAGAAAACTTGGCTGGCGGCCCCTCGATCAGAGACGAAAGATTTCTCGAGTCTGCGTGCTGTGCCGATTGCTCAATGAATCTCTTTCGGGGACTCGCCTATCGGCCGCCGTGCGTCTCGGTAGAAGATCAGGTCAGCTCGAACTTCTTCGAGGCAGGACTGTTCGTCACAGCGAATCCCTACTGCCCGCCGCCATTAGAGACTTTTTGACCATCCCATTAGCTTCTCGTAGCCCTCTGCCCACATCACACGATGAATCCCGGGAACTTTGCAAGGTATTTGCGAGACGAATGCCTTCGCGTCTGCAGACATCATGATCTTCACTCCGTCACCCTCTCATCTTGAATCATCACCATTGCCACCGCCACCAGCAACATCATCGTCATCACCACCACCTCCATCATCACCGCCATCATAATTTTAATGCTTAATTCTAAAGCTGGGTAGTATTACTCCCAACGGACACAGCAGCAGGCTGGCAGACACACACGCGTAAGGGTTTTTGCCTATCTGCTTTGCTTGGCAGACCGCCGTGTACGGACCAATTTAAGTGCAAATAAATCACTCATTCAATTACCATCCTTTGAGATACCCGACGTCAATACTTTCATATAACAACATATGTCGGTCCGAGACCTATAGCAAAAATCAGATCTGTAAACTATGGCACTGTACTTTACTACCTTAGTTTCGCAAGGTCGTGGATTTCATTAGTGATGTGATAAAAAGTACTTGGCTCAGTCAAAAGTTACGAAGGAATACACAAGAATACTCATTCCGAAACCAAAAAAGCATCCTCGTAGGCCATTAAAACGTTTTATTTAACAAAAAGTGCAAGGGAAAGAAAAAGCTCTCATCTTACTGGTGTTCCCCGTTTTTGTTCATAAAACGTTCCAGTGGACCAGAACGTTTTCTAGCTTTGAGAGGAAAAGGCTTAACCACACGTCGGCTCATGCAACTTTTTATGTTTTTATTTGTAACTTTTGACTCGAGCAAGTTTCATCAATATTATCACATATAAAATTTCCACCACCTAGCTGAGCTTGTATGGTAAATTACAGTGTTGTACTTCAGAAATCCGAATTTTAGGTCTATTTAAGTCTGGCCCCGACACACAGACCACCCGGTAGTGGTCTTTATCCCTTAGTGCAATCAGGCAGCAGTGCTTTATTTTTCTTTCCACTTTAGTACATTTGATAATATGCAATGCTTTACACAATAAAACCATTTTGACAGAATATAGCATCTAAAACAAGCAGCAAAGGACATAAATAGAACATGGTTGATGAAAGTGAAGTTCAACAATGACAAAGCATGAAATGCAACGACTCTGCATCATTACCCAAAAGAAGGTATTACCCTCTTTAGAGGTCTGCTCAAGCACAGCACAGCAAACTCAAGCCAAAAAGTGCACAAACATGCACCACCAAATGCATTTTAAGTTTGAAAGAGAAAAGTAATGAAGTATGTGCGATCACATGCAAGCGGTAATATTCTTCGGTTCTATCCACAACCCCTACCCATTTCGATCTGGATGAGCATCGTGCTGGCACATGTTTGTGTATTACTATTGCATGATGCACATTAAAGACCCGAGTCTAGCGGTTACACTGCACTGGCTAAATTGCTCATCTACAGCATAGAGAGCTGTCGCATCACTTAAATGCCAGATAGACATTGCGCTCTTTAAAACTGATAGTGTATGTGGCCCATTAAACTGTTAATTAAAACATCAATCAACACATTTTGATTAATTAGTCAAAATATTGTGACGTTTATCCACTCATCTAATGTCTGCCGAGCCCCAGAAGTACACAGAGAAGACGGAATCTATGTACCCAACACACGCTTTTTTAAATTCTGTAAAGAATGAGGAAAAAAAAGCCCTGTATACATGTTAAAGAACTTTAGTCCCTCTCAATTTTGTTCGGCATGTCACACACAAAGCACTTGCTGTCAGCCGGAAACACCATGAAAAGGCAGTTGGCCTTAATGTCCTCGGGTTTCAGCACCTTACAGATGTCTACCTGCGAAGGAAAACATTCCTTTATATGCTCAGGAAAGAGTGGTGTCTCCCGTAACACCAGCCGTCTGCAAAGGAGCGTGCACCCGAGACCAGCAACATGGAGAATTCTCTTAATTCTGAAATACTCCCCATCAGCAGTTGACACTACAGTGGTGTCACTCTTTGAAGCTCTTGTGTATGCGGTGCTATGGAACACCTGCCCCTTGTACACAAAACGCTGGTATTCCAAAGCGCTGCCAACTGTGCCTGTCCCACCGTAGACCTCTAGCGCACGTTCCTCGATAGCTGTTAGAATGGCAGCTTTTTCACGTCCTAGCAAGCATGCTTCATCAACATAGCAGGCATTCTGGATGTGTGAATAATCAAGAAATCTTTCACACACACTCCGCTCATTGGCACTGATTGCCACGTTGCTATCTGCCAGAAGGCATTCAAGCTGCTGCGTCATTACGACTCGCTCTACGATTTGATCCGGAAGTCCTCTAGCTGCAGAGACCAGCTTCACCAACTTTCCGTTTCCTCCCTCGAAAACAAATGCGGATTGCGCCCAAAGTGGTCCCAACTGACGCACGGAGTTTGGCAGGTGGAGGAGCTGGTGCATGTTGAACGTAAGCGAAGCCACTCCATACAAGGCCTCACAGCGACCAACAAAGTCGATCAGCAGATTTTCTGAAAACAAAAAAATAAGCATGCACAGGATATAATCTCAGACTATAAAATGAATGCATAACATTAACTGAAATTTCAAATGCCGCGCAGCTCATTGGATGATTTTTGGGTGTGATTTCCTACCACAGTTACCTGATTTGCATGCTCTGAGACTTTACACACAACATTCTGTCTAATCAATGCGGGTAGATCTTGACACTCCCATGAGACTGTCATACGGTATAAAAAAAGACCTTTATGAGGCAAATAGGAGAAAAAAAAGTATGAAGCTTACCTGCACGCTTGATCTCGTCGGCTGTGATGGTCTCACGTAGCAAGATGTGTATTGCTTGCGAGAGCTTGGAGAGATGTTTCCAATACTCCAGAGGCAGAATGTCCACGAGGCAAGAAAGAGCGTAAACCAGAAGCCAGAGTCTCCACTCTGACGCTTTCCAGAAACTGCGCTCGTTGAGTGAACGAGGCAGCCTTGACACACAGTGTGGTGGCTTGATCTGGAGGAGGCGGCTGTTGACCCGTGCCACGCAGGATGGTGCTCCTGTAAGCAACATAAGTGACTGGGCACATGAGTAATTTATCTTGCTTTAATAACCATATATGAGGCTGTGTACAAAGTACAACCACTCGAAAATGTATTCATGAAAGTTCGCCTCCCCAGAATTTTGAGGCTCAAACCCGAGGTTCAAAAGTGAAAAGTCAAACCCTGAGGTTTAAAGAGGTTTGAGAAATTTGAGAATCAATCTTCCTAACATTTAAATTCATTACGCTAAAAAATATGACAATTTTCAAACTCTTCAATTTGAAAAGTTCAATGAACCTCGAAGGTCAGTCGAATTTCTCCAACGCCAGGCTGTAATGAAATCAGTTTTACCTGTTTTGATTGGGCTAAGCTTTGGAAAAAAATTGTACCTATCTGTTCATGCATGCAGACTATGCGAACGTAGGAACAAGCACATATCAGACAACAGGTCAGCTCGATGTTTGATCTGGTTTCGGCATGGCCAAAGCGACGTGGTACAGAAAGTCCATTTCACAGCGAAGTAGAAGCTTACGCTACATGTTAACAAGTGGTGACAGCACTGTATCTTTGTCAGCTTCTGCAAATGTGGTTGTGGGTGGTCTCAAAAGCCATAGATCAAGCATGTGCAGTGCGCCGTGCAAGTACAAAGAGTGACAATCAGCAAAATACAGTGGACATAACATAAAGCATATATTGGATGCACTCTGGCCATCAAAGATGGGCACCCATGCTATGATTTTGCAAAACACAAACTAAAATTGAATGCCGTGACCATTTTGAAGAAAATCAACGTTGTTTTGTAAATAAACATGCTAAAATGACACTGTTACCATTACTATACGTAATATTTTTATTAGCTGCAACAAAATTTAAAAAAAAAAGAAAATGGGAGGTAGGGTAAATTGGGCCCGGGGCATGGTGGCCACTAGAAAAAAGGCAAATTTGGGTAATTAGTTAGCTAATGAACTAAGCTTGACCTTATAATGGTTTAGCCGTGCCGTCAAATTCTCGTTAAAAATTTGTGAACGCTACAGGGCCGAGAAATGTCACCCTGGTACACGGTGCCAAGTTGAAACTAAGAGAGCAAAAGCGCCGGTGACTTCATTGCTTTGTGTCACACTGCTGATGTCAGCTGCGGTGCGGGCACGTGGGTTGAAGCTATCGCAGCCGGCTTGGCTTGTTTAAGTGAAGCCGGCTGCAATAACGTCGATTCACGTGCCCCGCCACAGGGGACGTCAGCAGTGTCATGCAAAGCGATGACATTACCGGTGCGATTGTCCGCTTTGTTTCAGTCCGATGCTCAGTACCGTGACATTTCTCGACCCCATAGTGCCTACCACAAATTCTTTAATCAGAATTTAATGGCACCGTTAGACCATATTGAGGTCAAGCCTACATCCTCTAGACATATTAGGTGCACTCAAGTGAAAAACTGAAAAGTTAATATAACATTTGAGTTAGTCGCTAACAATTGTTACCTAATTTCGCCTTTTTTTCTAGTAGCCACCATGGCTACTAACACTGCCTCAGGGCTCACATTACCCTATTTCATGTTCTATTTTTTTTGAAAATTTGGAGCAGCTAACAAAGACACCTGTATCGATAACATTTTGCTTAGCGATTGTTATATGTATCTGTAAATATACTTAGTTTTAGATACATATTAAAAAATGTGACAAGCAGCTGTAGAGCTAATCAAAATCGGTCAACCAGCCTGGCAATTCTATTTTGCCCAATCTATGCCTAATCTTCTTGAAGGTTAAGCTAAAATTCTGATTTTCCAGATCTGGAGATTTGGCAAAACCTTGGCAACCACTAATGACATTTGTGTCAGCTTCAAAGTGGACGAAAATGCTGCTATATATAGAGTTATACCTAGAAGATATTCTGATAAAAATTATTAATAGCATGAAGATGAATTTGAGACTGTGCGAAACCCAGACCCCATAAAATTTGTACCTTGCGATCTCGGACTGAAAGTCCGAGGTTGCAAGGTTCAAAGTATTCAATATCTTCAAACTTTCGAACTCGAACCTTGGGAGGTTTGCAACATCTCTAGGTTTGCCCGGACTGTGGAGCTAGTAACAAGGGGGGACCCTCACTGGAGAATTCCCTGCTTCTGCTCAGTGGGCAAGTAACGAGCAGGAAACGCGAATAGTACTAGTATGTAAAGATTCAAGTCAGGAATTGGCCTGGTAAACACTATTAAGGTAAAAATAGCTCGAAGAGGTGCCACAAATTATGAAAAGAGCAACTTATGCGCCAACTTGTAACTGGAAATGAGACATTTTGGTACTGTACGACGTACCTATGTAGAACCGTTTTTGAGAGTTGGATGAAGAAAGCAGCAGTTCTGTAAACTGCTTTGCTGCTCCTTGAAGAACGGCGTGCATATACTCGACGCTCACTGCGGCCACAAGATCAAATCCTGAAAGTAAATGTTACATGTCTCTCAGTTTCTAACTCTAGGGACTGCAAAAAAGCATGCAACTGACGAATCACAAGTTCAATAATTCCAAGAGTATAGCTGGTAACAGTTCATGACATTGAATCTTTTAGTATACCTCCTGCTTTTTCGGTGAAAGAAAAAATATTAGTATATTAACTCCGCAAGTATGCTGGCCAGCTACTCTGTGAATTGGAAAATCAAAACATCAATTAGGTGTTCCAAAAGGTTTCTCTGAAACCGAAATAGAGTACAATTTTATTGAACGGTCGATTGCCGATCAGAGAATATTGACAGGTTTTACCATCGAAAACCATTACAAAATGCTCTTCTTAGCGCTTCGTACAAATGAGCATGGACGTGAATTTCAGAAGAAATTTGCGTGTATGTACTGCCTCTACTGTCTGTTTCAACGGCATCTTTCTTAGAGACCACTGTTGGCTAAGCTTATGTGAAAAAAAAAATTAGGGGGGAGGTGGCACTCTTACAATCATAGGAAGGCAGAACGCTAGCCCTGCCTCTGCCGTGGCCCTATGAATTTTTCCCCAAGCTTTGCAAAGGAGGGAAGGAAGGGAACAGTCTTGTCTTACTCTTGAGATTACACAGCAACCACAAAACTTGTGGCTCAGCAGTGTTACGTGTGAGTATACTTGTGTCACGCTTGTGTCAGTATGCTTGTGCAAAGTACTTCGCATCTTTCAGTTGGGCGCCACTGATCACCGATTTTTCCACTGTTGCAGCCTGAAATAAGTATTGGCTTGCAAACTTAAAATAGAAAATTAATTCACAGCGCATCCAAGTAGCCCGTCGTAACATCAGCTAACAGACCTTGGGGAGAAATTGGGGGCACGGCTGTGGTCATCTTCGCTGAGCATCTGCTACTGAACATTTGCAAATCAACAGTGCATTGAGAGTACAAAAGTATGTAGTTCATAATCTCAGAAAGTAAGAATGTAACATATCAGAGTACAGTCGGAACCCAAAGAGATTAGCACAATTAAGTGATCAACGTGCGGAGCATTGTGCTATTCGAAAACAGAATCAAAATCACAAAGATTTTGTGTGACTAATACTTTCTGTTCTCAGTGTGAAACAGTTTGCTTCGATCGCTTGAACCTTGGATAATCTGACCCTGTTCTTTAGACATTCAGGGAAAAAGCCACACCTGGTAGATTCATTAGCGGAGAAGGACCCTTGATTCCATTTATGGTGATCCCCAATCTCAAGGAAAGCTGCATATCTCGGACCACAAGCTCAGATGTTCTTGGAGCCGGTGGTTCCTTGGGCACGTAGCGCATGCTTCCTGTGAATAAAAATAAACGAAAATATATTATGAGGTTGCACCCAGTAGGCTCAGAAAAACATAATGTTTAGTTTGAACTGCAATGTGCACGTGCAAGAAGACCGATACATACCTTCCAGGTGTTCCCCACTTATGAGGCACCAGGGACATCCAAACGAGCCGTTGAAAAGTACCATGTTCTGAACTGCTGCCCTCGCAGGTGCGTCGACACAGCAGCAGAGCACATAAGCTCTGGACCTGTGCATCTCAGAGCTATGCTCCCACATCACGGGCGTCATGCTTTTGACTTGATCAACAAACTTTGCGAGGAAGGCAGTCATGTTTGGATGGCCTTTTCCGAACCAAAGTCCGGCTAGTGTGGTGTGCTTGAAGCGGATGCTTGGAGGGAGCTCATTCACAGTGAATTGAATAGGCCAAACAGACGTTTTGGATGACACGAAGAGAGGACTGCCGTCTGTGTTAAAAGTCAAAGAAAGATCACTGTCCCCCATCCCAGTCTTTCTGCGCAGAGCATCATAGGCTTCACCTGTTGTTATGTCAGTGACACCACTTCCGCTTGATGAGGTACTACGTTCCATGGCAAGCTTCAGGAGGTTGTTGTGAAGAAGCTCCTTGGTCTTCTCAATAACGAAGGACGGTTGCTTCGTCATGTCAAGCATTACGAAGTAGGATCCATTCTCTTTAGCACCTTCAGATCTATCCCTTGCTGGCACACTGAGCAGCTGGCTGCAGTCTCTGCGTCTTCCAGAACTGCTCCACAGCCCTCACAAAGGTAGTAGTGGCGAACCAAGTTTTTCGTCGTTGCTGACCAAAGCTTGCGGAAAGCATATTTGCTTTGCGGCACGACTTGCCTTCCAAACAGGGCATTGATGAGCACGAGCAAAGAATCGAGGCCCGACCACGTCATGCCCTGCGATACGACGTGGGCCATTATCATGGCGATGGCGCCGGCTTTTGTCGTCATAGAATGGGGAAGTGTCTCCGTCCCGAACTGATTGAAACAGGACGACAGAAGGTGTTCGAGCAAGGGCTGTGGTACAGGGTCATTTCCATTCATCTCGTCATCATCATCTCCATAGTCCTCACCAGAGTTCACGACGTCGTCTTGAACATCGTAGTTCTCGTCGCTAGCATTTAACGATTCCGAACGCTCGCGTTCGTTATCTGTGCTCAATTCGGATTCTTCGGAATGGCAGTCCTCGTCATCAGAATTATTCCCAGCGGATTTTAGTGCTTGGGGAACTCGAGTTAACGGGGTGAGCACGTCATGAGGGGGGTCTCCAGGGTCCTGAGCATCCCTTGTACTGTGAAAATATTGCGTTGATCTAGGCATCACAAAAGGCTCACTCTCTGCCAAGTAACATTTCCGACGCTTGGCACCCGGTGAGCTTTCCATTGCAGCTAAAACTTAACAGACAAAGAACTTGGCGCCACCTGTTGAAAGGATAATGGAGACCATAGTCAATGAGACTTGGATTGACTACGTTCTTGGTGTTTGTGAGCAATCGGAACCCGGTTTCTTACACCGGAAAAATAAAATAGAACTATACTCCGTTTAACCTTCAGTCCGAGCGCAGCGGACGCTAGGTGCCATCCAAGCCAATCCCGCGTAGAGAGAGTGTCATGTGACCTTGAGCTCCCTGCGCCGCTCTGCCCAACCGGCAGGTCACGCGATTTTCTCCCGGCGCTGGATAGGCTGGAATAGCTGGTGGCGTCCACTGCGCTCGGACTGATGGTGGAACGGAGTATAGTAAAACGTAGTTCCAGCAAGATGCCAAAATGTCAAGACTTACCAAAACCAAAATAAAAAGTTAGAGGCCAAAAAAAACTGCTTTCGTCTCTTAAAACCTAGGTGGCGCGAGCTACCGTCCAATATAAAAATAATAGTCAATTTTGTTTATTTGTCTATTCATACAGGCGCAGCCTAGCCAAGCCCAGTCCCTGTCTTGCGCGCGCTTTCTGTCGTCTCTTGCGTGCCTGCGTTTGACCGTCTGCGTCGCCATAATTGCTTTATCGTTGCTTGCCCGCGTCCCCATCATTGCTCGACCGTTAGAGGTGGACGGCTGGACCTAGACCGCCCGTACGCTCGGTTTTTTTGCGTCGCGGGTGTTGTGGGCGTCCGTTGGGCGATGTACGCATTTGTAAAGTTTACCGACGGTGGCCGACTGGTTATGCCGATCTCGATGATAAAGAAGTTTAGGCCTAGGGATGATCAAGACTGCAACCCAAAACAAAAGCTTGAAGCGTTCTGGATCTCTGAGAAAGGAGGGGAAGAAGGCTACTACGAAGCGACGGTGGAGATGCTTGGAGGCATGTGTATTCGTGTGATACCTTTTTTAAGATACCATGCTCAGGAATCGTCGGTTCTGGAGATTTTTGTTTGAGCTAATACGCACGTGGAGCAGGGCGGCCGGGCACGAACAGGTGCGCCTTACTTCTAACAAATGCCCCCATCGTTCAAGTACTTGCGCAGTGAAGGCACATGGTTTCACAAAAGCTGTAATTCGGGCTATTTGAAAACGGGTGTTACGAATGCATGTACTGTACTTTTTTAGTGTGAAGGCTGCATTCGAGGAACAAAAACAAAGGTGAAGCGCCACCCATGAGCGTCACGCATGAAATGTTTTACAGCGAGTTCGTTTCACGGCACTCGTGCCCACGCGTGCCCACTCGCAACGTGGAGCGGGTTCGTTTCAGCCGGCACTCCGCGAGTGGTTGCACTCTATAGCGCGAAACACATGTACGACGAAACCGTCCGATCCGACGTGCGGACTGCCGGAATGACCTTGGGGGCGAGGGTTTCCGTAGCATCGGAGGGCGTTGAAAACCCTCGCCTCCGACCGTCGTATTGCGCGGTCGGACGTCGGATCGGACGGTTTCGTCGTACGTGTGTTTCGCGCTTAAGAGTTCGTTTCAGCGCCAACACCCCACGCGTGCATGCACTCGCTGCACCGAGGAAATCGTGAGTGCGCCAAAATGCAATCCCGTCATGCCTCGCTCCGGCGAGGAGCGATGAGCAGACGACGATGACTCGTCTGCTACGATGTGTCGCGGAACCGAAAGGAAAAAAAAGTAGATTTTTTGATAGAAATCGGGTCCCGCGGGCAAAGGAATCAAATGCGAGCTTGAATTGTAAGCGTCTGCTACTTCATGAAGGAAGCAACTGACAAACCGTGCTTTATTTGCAGGTTTTAAGTCGCTCCGTTGCCGTACAGACGCTGAAATATACCGGTGTGTAAAGAAATGCTCAGAACAGACGCATCAGCGGCCCTCGATATGTTTATCACCATACGTGCGCGGGTGAAAAATTGAACATTTGTCGACAAAACTCGTGTTTTGTCGACAAATGTTTAACATTTACCAACGTAAGCTAAGGTACCCCGTCGTATTTTGTTCGAGAAAGCTCTTTCTCGACGCCTCACCACGGCTGATATCTGATTCACCTGTAATGATGATCGAAATCGAAAGTCCCACGAAAAGTTTTGCTGGATATTCCAAGAGACAAGTTTTTAAGCCGTGCCCTTTCAGTGGTTCACGTATGATACCATGCTCAAATGGGTCAAGCTTCTGCTCGGACAGCATCATCAGTTTTCTTTAGTGTAAGCGGCTATAAATAGATCGCAACCAGCCGCTTTGTAGATAGCTGGCTGCGGAAATTTACGCCGTCTGTAACCATCTTTACGACAGCCCAGTTGCTTGAAGTCATCGCAAATATAAACTACAGAAAAGAGTCAAAGTACAGGCTAGCTGGTGGAAGTCAACCATTTCGTCGTTTACCCTGAGACCCCCCAGTCTCAGGGTAAACGACGAAATGATAAACTACAGGTTGCAGCGACCAACGTTTGTAGATAAACGTTGGTAGCGACTGCACTCTCGCATTTCCACCCATGACTCCGAACAGAAAAACGCTATTTTCGGTTTGAGGTTGGTACCTTTTCCATGACATAGATGGCGGCAGCATCAGTTTTCTGGACTTGGTTTTCTGCACTCGGTGCATTTGGCGAGTTCGTTTGATTCCAGTTCTCCGTGCAACACTCTGCGAGTGCGATGCATTCTGGGAGAGAACTCGAACAGCGCCAGTGCGTGTGAAACGAACTCGCTATTAGACACCTATGCTAGTCGAGTAAAGGTTCCGTAAGCTGGTGTGCTAAAAATGGAGTCACTCCATCTTAAGACGTTTTGAAATCAGAACATAAGAAGCTTTCATGTTCTCCACTAGTGCGAGGCGATGTGATGTGCGTGATTGCTTGTTCTAATTTTCAAAAGTAATGCTATGGTTTGGCACGTTACCCACAATCTTCGCAGGGACAGTTGAACTTCTCATCCAAAAAATGCAGAAGGCAAGAGTAGCAGTGCCAAGGATTCTCAACAACCTCCCTGAAGGTGGAGTTGGAGACTCCATGCAGAAGGCAAGTTCATGTTTCAAATAGCTTAATTTCCATGTGCCTGCTGGCACATGGAAATGTGCCACCTACTGGCAAAAGCTTGCTGATACAGCAAGCCTTTGCCAGTAGGAATGTATAGAGCTACCTACTGTTAGGGGGAACTCGCTGATGGATGGACGGTGCTCCGCGTTTTGACAGCTGCTGGGGCAACGGGAAGCTCAGTGCAGACGCAGTAAAGCGTGAAACACATGTACGACGAAACCGTCCGATCCGACGTGCGGACTGCCGGAATGACTTTGGGAGCGAGGGTTTTCGTAGCATCGGAGAGCTTTGAAAACCCTCGCCTCCGACCGTCGTATTGCGTGGTCGGACGTCAGATCGGACGGTTCCGTCGTACATGTGTTTCGCGCTTAAGCTTCAGTAGCAGACAACGCGCTGCATACGCCACCAATGCTGCTCACTGCATCTGTTCTGAGCCAGCCGAGCAGACTCAGTAGTTGGCTTATATGTAAAATTCTAAGTTTCCAGATTTTTATTTTTTTAAGTGAAATTTTTTAAAATTATTATTACGTATTGACTAATTGCACTTTTTTCAAGCATCTTGTCCCAAATGCAGTACATTAGGCTCGTGTCTGAAATATTCGTCCTACAGCAGCACTTGCAGACGGATGGCTGTAATTAGGACAAAGAGCGGCACAATTCTCACAGAACAGTTTAGAATGAGAAGCGGCCTCACTTTTCTCCTCGCTTCGGTTCACTTTCTCAAGACAACTTAGCGAAGAGGAGAGGGAATGAAGAATCATGACGAGAGTATGTCCCGTCAGCCTTGTTGAATTGCTCCCTTTCATTCCCAAAATACGGCCATCCCTTTGAAATATTGCTGTACAAGTGATGTCAGGGAGTTTGTAGCGTACCGCCTGTCACTCCTGCCTTGATTAGTCATAGCTTACAAATCAAATTTTTTGATATTTGTTTAGGTCTCGGCCCAACATCAGGACTGCGAGGTAGAACTTGCCTACTGCCTCCTAGATTTTCACTATACTCCGTTTCATACATAGCGTACAAAGCTGGGAAAGGTACTGAAGTAGTGCACATGAAAAAATATTTAAAAAATGTGTTACTCAACGCGTTTCGGGGACGAACTGTAAAAGGCGCTGCTCTGGCGATACCGACGTCTCGGTGGCGGTACCTCAAATCCACTTAACGTGTAAGATTTTTTTTTTTTTACATAATTTTTGTGCATGATTGTGTGCATTGCGGAAGTGCATAGGTCAGTTCCTCTTTTCTTGTTTCTTTTTATTTATAAGGGGGTAGACTAGGGGTTGGTGTTCCGCTTGAACCTAGTGCGGGCCCCATTAAAACGTAAGAATGGTTGAGATCCAGGGTGTCTGCTTAAACCGTTTATTTACATGATACCGTGAAAATCGGAGAGTACCTTGAGAGTGCAGTGGACGGGGCTTTATATAACGAATACTGGGATGCGACTTCATCCAAGTTTTCTTAAGAGTTGGAATGCTGGCGCTGGTGTATGGAAGTCATCCAGACGGCAGTTTCTCGCTGCTCTGGTGCCGGCGCCCCATGAACTGAGAGTGATTCACAATAGACGCGTACACACCACACCCCTATTGGAAAACCCCAATATAAACAGCGTATTATGGATATTGGTAAACAATATATTTTTATTGTATTGCAATACAATATAGACAGTGTATTGGAAAACATTACATTTATTGTATTGTATTACAATAAGGATTTGTTATGGGATTCCAATATACATAATACGCTAAAAATATTGGAATCCAATACCGTATAAACCCTTATTGGATCCCCAAGTGTCGTATGGGGATCCAGTAAGGGTTTACGATTCCAATATACTCAGCGTATTATGGATATTGGAATCCAATATATTATATCGGCTACCAATAAAACTATAAACGAGTTGGAATATCACGTTCAGCGCAACATTTCTCTGCAACGCAGTCTCTTCTTGTGTGTATTTCTGAGTGATAAATTAAAAAAATGTTGCTGTTGTGAAATTGTGAATAAAGAAGCAAAACACTGGACTTATCCATACCAAATATATTTAACATATTCCTGAACTGGAGGATCTGGCATTTACTGCAAAAGAAAGTTAATTGTTTAGGACTCTCATTCAAAAACTTGATGTTTGAAAACAGAATGTGAAATCCTGACCTTAAAGGGCCCCTGAAAAGAAAAAAAAAAGTTTTTTAAAAACAGTCTGGTTGGGACACGCGTGTCGAAAAATTAATTTTACGCGACAAAAACGATTTTTTAGAGCAATATTGACCGCGCCAGACGCAATTTAGTCGGCAGCCACCTCCTTTCCACCTTTTTCTCTCTCGGCATTTCGGGCGCGTGGAGGAGAGGTACACCCCGCCTCTTCGTAGTGGATCGGCTTGGCTGCTTTCCCGGCTTGGCTGCGCCCCGCACGAGAGCCATTGCTACTTCCTGGCCGTGTTCCAAAATTCACTCGATCTTACCCCAGGGTAAGAGTTTTGTACCCTTGGCGTTCTAAAACCTACCCGCGTACAGCGTTTTTCAATCTGTGCTGTCACGTGATACGATCCGCCGGAATAACTCGGATCCATTTGGAGATTTGGAACACAGCCCCTGTGTCTGCCGGTCGCACGACGTTCCGTGGTTCCGTGTCGTATCGTGCACGTACCGTGGTCACACAGTACATACTCGTCGCGATGGACCCCGACCTGAAGCGTCGGTTGCTTCAACCCTTCAACGCTGCCAGCAGCTGGGCCTTCGCCCGTACGAGGACACGCCTCGCCAGCCGGAAGGCGTCCGCTCTGATCGCCGCGAGGCAACCGCTCGCGAGGAGGCACCCACTTCGCTGCGGAAGGCGGCGAAGCGGGAGCCTCGACGAGTTCGTCCGAGCCGCACGACCCTTCAAGCCGCCGCGAGGACACGCAGTGGTGACTCATTTTTTTATTAATCGTTGAGTGCGGTGCCGCGTGCCTTCACTAAACTCTTTACGGGAACCGATATCTAAAAAGAAAATTGGCACTGGCGCTCGCCAGAAAACATACAAAAGATGGGGTAAACGGGACACACGAATCACGCAAAGAAGAGCAGGAAAACAAAAACCTGTCACACCGCGCCACTTCCTAAGTACTTACGATGACTAACTAACACGAGCAACAAGCCCTCTACAGAAGGTTTTCACATATAAACTCGATAAAACTATAAAACCACCCGAGGTACGCGAGACGCGTTACAACGACGGCGACCATGACAGAAAACAAAATGGCGAAGCGTTTGTTTGTTGTTTTGTTGTAGGATCCGAACGGAAGTTACGATTTTGTAAAACGTTTGTAAGCAATTGCGACAATCATTCGATGGATTGTTTCTTAAACCTAAAAATATGTAATTCAAAAGGCGATCTCAAGAGATCATGAAGATTTTATAACCAACATCTAAGCTGCCACTCATTCTATTGGCCAATGAGAAGCCGATTTGAATGACCATGGTTACCAATGAGAAGCCGAGCTGAATGACCAGGGATTTGCGCGCAAAATTTCAAATAAATCTCTCGCCGTCAATATTGCTCTAAAAAAATTTTTTTTTCGCGTAAAATTCATTTTTCGACACGCGCGTCCCAACCAGACTGTTTAAAAAAAAACTTTTTTTTCTTTTCAGGGGCCCTTTAATGAAAACAGCACCTGCTAGCTGTAGCCATATAGAAACTGCAAAATAAAAATTTGGGATTAGTTCGCGACAAGTAGCAATCCTTCACCAAGCGGGTAGATTCAAAATTATGTCTGCGTTCGATTGTGGAAAAATAAGCTTCAATGCCACTGCCACAGGTCATTCTGAGCTCGGTCAATTAAATATATGTATCCGCTCGTCTGGCTTCACTATTCCTGCTTCGCACCTAACTAGAGTATCTGGAATGCTCACCTTTGAGGAAAAACAAACTGGTGCTTGCTTGCTTGTAGGCCGTGGAAACTGGAAGAGAGATTTGCGGTTAGTTGCGTCCAAGTAGCAGTTACTTTGAGTAGCCACGTAAAGTACACTAAGTCTGAAAGATTCAAAATTACATGCGCGGGACATAGATATCCTCTTGCGACGTAACTGGGCACGTGTCAATGTCGCCCGCTTGTATTACAGAAAAATAAGCTTCAATGCAGGAGCTCCCAGTCGTTCTGAGCTCCGTCAATTAAAAATGCTGTACCGGTCGTATGGCTTCAGTATTCCTGCTTCGGGAATCTGGAATTCTCACCTTTGAAGAAAAACAAACTGGGACCTGCTGGATCTTAGGCTGTAGAAACTGCTAGAAAGATTTGCGATTAGCTGCGTCCAAGTATCAATTTCTTTGACCAGCCACCTACAGCACACTAAGCCGGATAAATTCAAAATTACATGTGCGTGACATAATATGCCTCTTGTGACAAAACTGGGCACACGTTTTGTCGCCTACAGCAACACTGAAGCCAGACACACAAGCGGTACGGCACCTTTAATTGACGGAGCTCAGAACGAGTAGGGACGCTTTCACTGAAGCTTGTTTTGCTACAATACACACGTGTATTGCAGCAAAACAAGCTTCAGTGAAAGCGTCCCCAGTCGTTCTGTCAATTAAATATGCCGTACCGCTTGTCCGGCTTCAGTATTGCTGCTTCAGAGCAATCTAGAAAATCTAGAATCCTCACCTTTGAACGAGAACGAACTGGCGCCGGCTGGCTTGTGGGCCATGGAAACTGCAAGAGAGGTTTGCGATTAGTTACGTTCAAGTAACAATTTTTTTGGGTAGCCACCTACAGCACAGTCAAAATTACATGCACGGGACACAGATGCCTCATGCGACGGAACTCCCTTCGTCCTTGTTTTCTGTTAACTCTGCTCACCTTCACCACTCGCCTCCAATTTCTGCGCTACTTCTTTAATCTCGATTCCCTGGTTCCCAAAGGCCATGCCATGGCTTGCGCCAGTCACGGATCTGTCAGCTCTGCGACTGGCGCTATTGTGGCAAAGACGCTACAGCACCTGGCGCT